ATAATTCACTCTTGCTGGTGTATTTTTTTTTTTATGTTGGCTTTATTAAATTTTACTGTACACTTGTACTTGTGCATTATAGTGCATAGCAATGCTCTGCACAATGATGAAACATGTCCTTATTTATTTCCGCACACACCAACCCAGCACATTGGTAAACTGAACTAATAGGACACAAGGCAGATTTCCACGTCTGTGTTTTGCCAGCGCATTGGGCAACACTGTCAAACATAGCCCAAAAGGGCTAGTGTGAATGAGCCCTTAAACATCCAGATATTGCATTATATAACTCATGATATTGTAACTCTTGCAGACATTTACCGCACGAAAATGATGCGCTCATTCATGCAATTACACAAGAGACCCGATTTACCCCCCAGTTTATTCCACAGCACAATTCAGGGATCAGGATAAACCAGTCTCTGAAAACGCTCTATTAGGAGTGTAAAAGTTGCAATGTTCCAAAAGGGTAATATCCACTCTTCTTTTTTTTTTCCCCACTTGCTACACATTTAGGCCTGTTTCACACTGCCGTGTAATACGCTGTGCATAGATCCGCGCAGCGGTTTTCCCCATATGCAGCATATGCAAATAAATGGCTCTATAAACATAGCTGCGTATGGAGCCGTATTTTTGCGTACTATATACAGCTGCGTAAAGATGCGCAAAAACTAAATGGAACCAAGATGCGTCCGGGCTCAGGATTTCTGCGTAATTTGCGCGCGTATATGCACGCACAGTACATTAAAGTTTCTAAGAAAAATGATGAATTCTGGGATTGCATACAGTTCACGCAAATACACGCATCTACAAATGTGCGTACAATTTTGCTCTTGCTGTGTGTGTGTGTGGCCTAAAGCTCGGTAAATCTTTTCACAGCTGCGCTGCCCACTGGTTGCTGTAGGAATGTGGAGGTTGTGAATGTGCCCCCAAGAAACATGCCTAGGTTCCATCTCTGTTCTCTGAACTCGCAGCAATCTTTTCTGAGGCTGATCACACCATTTGAGATGGGGTTGTGTGTGTGGATTTTTGTTTTTTTTTTGTGTTAAGGGTTGGCAACAGGGCACCTGCGCAACAAACTGGACAGTTCAAGCTACTGCTCAGGTTTGCTGAACCTCATCCATGGGACTAGGATTTAACTGATGCAAGTTTCATAAGTCCCAGCTATTCTTTCAGGCTGCAGTTTAATCATTTGGTGTAGTAAGTCAGCCTGATGGTGTTTCTGCGACATCCGGTTGTAGTGGCGGCTGCTGCTCCCTGCACTGTTGGTTCGTTTTACTGACAGAAGTGTCAAAGCAAGAAATTAGCGGGTTGTGGAGAGTGGAATGCTCTTCATATATAGTACTGGCAGTTGTTTACTTGGCTGCAAGCTAGATGCCAAGCATTGTTGATAATACCTTAGGTCTTCCTTAACTTGTCAAAGGTTGAAAAAAAGTAACACCTTTTTGCTCTAATAGCAAGACCAAAATTGCCTAGTAGCGCTCGCTCTGCTTCAAGTTTATGTAAAGGCATATTAAAACAACAAAAAACTACAAATAACAGAGCTTCCTTCCAAAGGCTAACTTTTTGATTCTTGGATTTGTAGAAATACTCAGTGAAACGCTGAGTGGAGTAACGGACGAGGAGGGGGCAGGCACAGCTGGCTCTGCCTCTAGATAGGCATCTAAATAAAAAAAATATTAGGTGTTCGCTGAATGGCTGTTGAGCCAAGCAAGCTACCCTCTGTTTTCACAGGGGAAATTGTTCAGCACAACACCCAGAAAATCTCTTGTCAGCACTGTAGTAGCTCTGGCTACTACAGTGTTTTACAAGATCCCCATGGATCTACCTGGTGTAAAATATGTATACATTTGGCAAAGCTATACCAATGTAAGTATAAATTATGATGTATATCTGGAGTTCAGTTTAAAAAAAAAAAGCCCCATCAACATGAAATAAAAAATCCTTAAACCCCACTTTAACAAATGAAAACCCAAAATACCACCCCTAAAACACATAATAAAAGTGACTGATGACTTCAAATCAACCACAATAATAAAATGCCCAAAGAGTTGGCTATGCATATGCCTTTTCAAAAAGCCTCCGCAGGTGCCATGCATCCTTGATTAGCCAACCTGGGCTGAGAGAAACATGCACTGCAAATTTTGCTACCATGGTATACACGTTTGCTAAAAACATGTTGACAACATGGATAACTTATAGATACTAGAGAGTAGATGCAGAATAGGTGGAGGCTTAGACAGCATGAGAGGATGAAATGAGTGTATTGGTAACTGATACACTCTTGCAAAAAAAGGCAGGTTGGTACTTCTCCACACACATCCCCAATTTATCAAATTGGGGGAAAATAATCGATTTGTAAAACATTGGCAGAGGTGCACTCCTTTTAAATTGTAAAGATGCCCTTGACTCCATATCCACTAGAACGTTGTCGGACCACGCTCCGGTTCTGACCTCCCTTGATTGGCCATTAATTCCCTCCAGATCTCACAACTGGAAACTCAATGAATACTTACTGCGTTGCCCCTTAGCAAAAGAGCAACTGCTCACGGAATTGCAGACTTTCATGCTAATGCCACCCCGGGTACCTCCCCAGCGGTGCTTTGGGAGGCCCACAAGGCGGTCATCCGAGGGCGGCTGATAGAGTTGGGAGCAAGGAAAAAACGAGAGGCGGAACAAGAATTGCAATCCTTATTAGAAAAAATTAGGTCCTTAGAACGCCTTTATAAACGCTCACTACAACTTAGCCACTATCATTCATTAATACAGGCCAGAGAAGACCTAAAAACACTCCTTAATCGTAAAGATGCCCTTGAGGGCTTGTTCACACCAAATGCAGACGAGATCTGCATGAGTTTCTGCACATGCAGTGCAGTGTGTTATACTGCAGTTTTTGCTGTGTTCCGGGCTGTTTTTTGGTTAAAAAAACTTTTTTTTTTAAAATGGGCTTTCAGTGCGTTCCAGGGCCTTTGCATGCGTTTCAAGGCGTTCCAGATCAGGTAAAATAGGGCCTGCTGCAGTTTTTTTTTACATGCTCTGGAACTGAACGCTGCGGTGTGAACTAGAGCCCCAAATACCATTGGAATACATTGGACGCAGTTTTTATCCGGTCTGCTCCTGGAACGCGCTTGTTGTGAACAATCCCTGAATGTTAGAGGTTTCAGGGAAACAAAGTGGTTCAGTAGCACATTTGTATATGGAGATATTACTTTCCCAGCTCAGCTGTTATCCTTGGAAATATCCCTACTTTCCATTCCTCATGAGGAATTTCTCTACAGCTACCACTACCCCATACTCAGTTCAACATCACAAATGTCTCTGGAAATTCCTGGCTCATCAGTATAGAGTCCTTGAAAGACTCTCCTACCTTACCTTCCTACCTTTGCCGAATTCTCCAGCAGTGTCCCTGAAAATTTTACTGTAAGCATCATAGCTAGGTCTGTCAGTTATTCAGTGATGTAATCTTTTTGAGACTCCGGATTCCCCCCAAGAGAACTAACCAGGAGTTTAAAACAATGGCACCCTAATTGGATCATGTTTCGTTTGTATCCTAAACCATTTCCCTTTTTTTTTTTTTTTTTTCCAGTGTTTTAGCAAACTGTTTTGTCATCTCACTTATGCTGAAATCACTTCATAGCCTCTTTCAGCCACTTATATTTGCATGCACTTGTTCCAGATTCAGCTGCACAGCTTTGCTCTGGACCAACTTCCTTAGGCTGGGTTCACACCTAGGCGTATTGTATATGCGCGTTTGTCGCGCGTTTTTACCGCGATTCGTGGTTAAAAAAACGCGCGACGAACGCACGTTTCCGATGGCTACTTGGCTGTATTCCAATGGAAACGCGAGACCAAAACGCCCCAAAGAAGTACATGTACTTCTTTGGGCGTAGGTCGTTTTGTATCGCGTTCGGACGGGTGGAAATACGGCAAGGTGTGAACCAGACCCATTGAATACAATGGGATTGAGATGTTTGAGCGTTTTGTAGAGCGTTCGTCGAGCGTTGAACGCGCTACAAAACGTTCAGGTGTGAACCAGGCCTAGGCCTAATGCACACTGTCTGCGTTTTAGGCACAGTTATCTGTTCTAAGTATAAACAACTATGCTTCCTGGATCACTTTTTTTCTGTGCTGGGCTTAGCACTTATGCATTTCAATGTGTTCTACATGCGTAAAACCAAGCTAATCAGACCCGGAATACAGAAATTTCTAGTTTGGTAGATGTGAATGATCCTAGATGCTGCTGGACGTCTAGGTGTGCATTTAGTCACAGCAAAAGATTACAGGAGTCTAGGTGTGTTTAGAAATGAGCTCCAAAAGCACCTGAACTCTACGTTTTTCAGCATAGTGACAACCTCCCTGAGAGGTTGAAAACTTGCGACAGGAATGTACGAAAAACTGCTGCATTTGCCCATCTAAACAAACTGATGCCAGACCTTGCATAGAACTGTAAGATCTGCTCCTTTTTTTTAGACAACTGTCACCTGACTTCTGCTGAATGAAATTATTTGGAAGTATTTTTATATTGTTTCTGCTGCATGCTGCTAATGCTCATAAGGGCTCATTCTTACAGACACAAATACGTTGTATGTGCATATAGAGTAAAATCCCCCTGTACTTGTGGCACATGGGAGCTCTAGTTGCAGCACTTTTTTTTGTCTATAGGATTATATGGACAGCGTCTATACACAAAATAATGCTGCGATTGGAGCTCCTGGGCGCCGCAAACACGGGTGTGTTTTATATTTTTTGCCCCCATCTCTGTATCTGTGGAATGAAAGTTATGGTGCGAAAAAAAACTGAACCAAAACAAGTTACATTTTTTTTTCTTTTAATATTTAGTATGTTTTCTAAAATAAATCAGCTGAAAATAGGACTATGGTTTGTGTTTGTGTGTTTTGGTGTGGTGTTTTTTTTTTTTTTAGGATAGTTGTGTTTTTTCTAGCCCTGTTTGTTCCTTTGGTTGCAGTATTAATTGGTGTTTTATTCTCCAACAACTTTAGGATATCATACTTCTAAAACCGGGACGAGTATGAATCCACAACAGAGAATGGCAGCAGTGGGCACTGACAAAGAATTAAGTGATCTTCTGGATTTCAGCATGGTAAGCAGAATGGTCCTGTTTTTAAAGCTTGCATTTTAGTTACAAAGCAAAAAGTATATTGTTCACATAGCTAGACAGAAGAACAATGTTTTTAGCTTCAGCTTCCCACACTGCAGTTGAATGATTCTTTATAGCAGGGGTAGCCAGACTTTGGCACTCCAGACTATAAATCCCATCATGCATCTGCCTCTGGAAATCATGCCTCCAGTTGTCTGCATTTTGCAATGGCTTATGGGACTTGTAGTTCCACAACAGATGGTAGGCCAGTTTGGCTACCCCTGCTTTTATAGGCTTCCAGAAAGCTGCTCAAAACTGAAAAAAGGCCTTTGCAAATACCTTTTTGAAAGTTTGATGTAGCGTTTTGTGCATGGTTTCCGGCAAACATTTGGTTGCACCAAAGTCGCTGTGTACTGTGATCATGTTTTGCAGGGGTAGAGGGTACAACTGCTACTGGACCTGCAAAGCTAGCTGGGTGTTAGGCTTCTGCCCTTTCTGGGCTTAACAAAGGGAACTGTAGTAAGTGAGGTTGTAATGTAGAAAGAGCACAGTCAGAGGAATGGCAGAGCCTCAATGGAGAAGTTCAGATACCTGCAGAGATTTTTGCTGGCTCACGCTCTGTAACACTGCAGTCTGTGTAGAGTGAAGAAAGTAAGAAACTCTGTCATAAATGTGGCACAAGACAGCAGACTTTTGTCAACATGTCTGTTCTACCAGTGTGTGGTAGGCTTAAAAGGCACCTGTAGAGGTCTATGTATATATGTGTATTACTCATAGAGAGACAGGGTTTCCCTTTAAGATTTTTAAGGCATACCTAGCTCAGTATGCACTTCAGGTGCCCATGCAGTCTTCACTCATGAAGCACCAGTTTTGCTGCTGAAGTGTATCCCTCTGCCTACCAAGCTCTGGTGCTTGCAGTTCCTAATCGTTTCATAGAGGAAACAGTGCTTCCATCTTGCTGGGCCACCCCAGTGCAGCACCAGGCAAGTGTCCAGACATAGTGCATACGGTTTGGATGACCAAATGGGTGCAAATTCTGGTACTTGAAAAGTGCAACAGCTGGAAGTGACATCAAAATCGCAGAGCTTTGCTCTAGGTGATACGTGATCAGTAAGGCCCCATTCACATCTGAGTGTTTTATAGCTCAAAGCTACAAAACATTTTTCACAAGGAGACCTATTGTTTTCTATGGATGGCCCCTGCTCACACCTGAGCATTCTGTTGCTTGTATCAAAATACTTGGAAAACGTACATGAGCTTCTTTTTAGGCAGATTTAAACGCTTTTGTCCCCCATGTGCCCTACAGAAATGACTTAAACCACGCGCCATGCGGTTTCCTATTTTTTGAGCATTTTTGTCACAGATGTTGTGCGAGCCCGGGATCAGCTTGGTCGCCTGTGTCACAGGGGATCGGGGGGGATCGGTACATGATCTCCCTCCTGTCCCCTCTGCAAGAATGCAGTAGTGTTGTATATTACATCACTTCTGCATTCTTGTCACTCTCCAGTTTCAGAAGCTGGAAAGAAGCTGATGGAGCAGATCTCTGCTTCATCAACCCCCAAAAAAAACATTTTTAAAGTTACACATAAAAATTTTTTTTTTTTTTAAAACTCCCCTCCCATACACGCAAACATGCGTCGAAGGCGCATTTTTAAAAAAAAAGTCTGAAAAATGCCAAAAAACACCAACACCTAGATGTGTATGGAACCAGAAAGTAAAAGAAAATGCCAATTTTCAGGCTGTCCTCACAAAGGAATGGAAGAAAAAACTTCCAGTGGGGACATTAGTGCTGGTGATCCTGTGACCACGAGGATTTTCCCTCATCGGAGGGATTTCCTCTCACTTTCTGTTGTGGCTATTGGACAGGAAGTGAAAGGAAATCTCCCCAATGGGACACAGATGGCAAAAAAAAAGCTGACGGGGGTATAACCCTCCCTTATGCTGGCCATACACATTACAATTATCTGCAGATTTTCTATGGTCAGATGGAAATGGTGCAATAGATTCCTCCATCTACACTTAACTGTGTGGATGGAGTAATCTGCACCTGGGACAATCTGTTGCACTTTCTCCATCTGACCACAGAAAATCTACAGATAATTGTAAGGTGTATGGGCACCTTTACTCTATCCAAAACAAAAAAAATTTGCCTTCAGCTCTACTTTACTTGATTCTAATTAACTTCTGCCTGGGTTTGTCTCCTACATGTGTACATATTTTCTGACTGCACTGGTTAGATGCTGCAGGCAAGTCTTTTGTTTGCTGCATGCTGGGTTGCACTATTTGATAATTTTCGTGTCTTAGCCCTGATTTCCAGCCAAAATATTGGTTGGATAAGACTTGGGTTCAAGGTTTCATCAGTCCATAACATGCTCTCGATAAGCTAGAATGATTTTACCTGAGTTCTCAACCTGTGTAACCACAGGACACACATTTTGTTCTTGGTCATTAAGTTGCAACCCAAGTCGCACTGCAATTGAACGCACGGCATTGTGGTACCGCGCATTCCGGTGCAGACGATTGATCTGTGGGCGGGAGGCTGCGTTTGGGGTGCCATTCAAATGGCACCCCAAAAAACACTGACAGACGCACACAACCACATGTATACTCCGAAATAATTTTTTTTTCTATTTTAAGATCCACCCTACTTTACGAGAACTGGAGTGGATCCGTAGCCTGTGGTCCAGTGTGGGCTACTGTGCTGTGACTGAGCTCCGTCCATGTGTGCATTGCTTGTACAACCTCCTTGCGCGCCTTGTAGAGGTGTCAGGAGCCAGAACGTGGAGTCACTCCGGTCCAGGCACTTCTACAGGAAATGCGAGGGAAGCTGTAAGCAATGCATGTATGGATGGAGCTCCCTCGCTGCCATAGCTCCAGCCCACCCCACCTTACGCTGACACTTGGCGCCGAGCAGCATATAAATGGCTACTTGGCATGAGAACTGACAGTGCTGCTCTAGGGGGAGGCTGAGAAGCCTCGCGTAGAAAAGAGGAAGGCACGCAGGGACCCACTGAACACGGGGTCGCGACCCACCAGTTGAGAACCAAGGTTCTAGTCTGTGATGCTGGCTTTCATGAGGATTCAATCATACCTGGGTATTTGTAATTCCTGAGATTGGGGGCAGAGGTATTTGCAGACACACCATGTGAAATGGTGATGCAGATCAATATAAAAGAAACTCTGCACTGGTTTATAGACCAACATAGACAAACACCTGATCAAAAGGTTCTGCGTCTGAATTCCAGCGTGGGCGTTCCAGAGCAGTAGCTGCTGGAACGCCCCGCGATAGCTCCAGAACACC